GAGTATCAAAGATATTAGCAACTTTTACTCTCTACTTCAATAAATTTTTGAATGAGTTTCTGTACTCTTTACTCCACTACATTTGAAATGAGTGTTGCAGTTACACATTACATTTTGCATGGACCTAGCTTTTTCTGCAGCAGTTTATTTCTGCTACAAAAGACGTGATACTGCCTATTACAGGTCACTGAAAGTACTGCATCTTGTGCGTTTTGCCCTTACTCACCCAAACTTGTCAGCAAGGCAATGTGAATGCGAGTTCCTTAGCAAGTATTTGTGAATCACAGGTGTTTTATGAGATGCGGACATGACTGCAGCCGTCAGTGAGGCAGAAACCAGCACAGCCAGTGCAAGAAGGCTTCGGCTTTTTAATTTTACTTAACATTATTTTATTTATCCATTATACTGAAGAGACCTTTTTGAAAGATATTGTTGTTTTTTTTTGTTTTTTTTTGTAACTTTGAGGTGTTCAGTTTTATTTTGGTTTTAGAAAATAAACGTGATTACCAGTGTTGCCAACTGCTTTCAATTGAAAGTAGCTAAAACTGGTAGCTAAATGTCACTAGATGACATCATAATGGCAAATTCACTAATCTATTTAAAGATGAATATATATCAGTTGGCAAGATGAGAACTTAGATAAGGTTTGTCCAAGAATTTGCTATATTTGTCCCTAAACTTTTTTTTTTTTTTAAGTCTCAAAAGGGGTGGGGAAGTTGCTAAATCTAGCTACAAAATAGCTAAATTGGCAACACTGGTGATTGCTCTCCTCACAAATCAACTCTTTCTTGTTTTTGTTTCATGCTCTCTGTGCCTTGCCGTGGACTTTTATGTCACTTCCTGTCTCCCGTGGTGTTTGTAGTCCGTTTGTTCATTGGTTCCCCTTGATTAGTCTCCCCAGGTGTGTCTTATCTTGTTAAGCTTGTTAGCCCCCTGTGTGTATATGTAGCCCTAGTTTTTCTTTAGTTCCTTGCGAGTTTTTGAAAGTAATGGTTGTCTGTTTGCCAGTCATTCTGTTCTTTGTTCCCTTTGGTTTTTGGCTTATTGTTTGTTCTAGTTTTTCCATTAAATACCTGCACATAGATCCTTGCCTCTGCCTGTTTTTCGGATCTTCTTTACAACATAAAAGTTGTTCACTGGCATGTGTCTTTGACTAGTGCATCTTTGAGCCTATATTATTATAAGTAAAATACTAAAGTACTGTTAAAATCAGATACTCTAAAACTTTTACTCAAGTTGTTTTGGAATTAGTGACTTGTAACTTGTAGTGGAGTAATTTTCACTGTAAGGTATCTGTACTTTTACTCAAGTATG